CCTCCATTAGTATAGGTCAAGTTCATCAAATTGTAGCAATTTATCCTCTTTTCCTTTGTCAAAAATTGTTTTGTTCTTTTTAATTTTCCTCTAGTTGAGTTCTGATTATCATGCCATCAAGGCTAGGTCAAATGGGTACTATTTGCAACTTTAGGTGTTCTTGTGCGCCTCCTCTCACTTTATATCTGCTGGATGCTTCACTCTCAGCTCTAGCCCTCTGTGGCTATGTCCTTGTCCATGGGCTCAGGTGTCTCACCACACTTTGGACCAACCAGTCCTTCCTCTTCTCTCTCTCATCTTCAGGTCAGCAGGAGTCTGTTGAACGTGGTTGAACTTAGCCCATTTCGTCATTGCTGCCTTTCCCCCTCTTCCACTCACCAGTAAACCAATCTGGTCGTCAGCAAGCTTGCATGCCTGGTCATATGTTCCCTTTGAGTTTCAGTTTTAGAGGGGACTTTTATATGCACAGTTTTAAAGGAGTCTTTTTTACTTATTTCCTTAATGCTATTTTTTATGGCAATTTAAAGAAAAAAATTTTTTTCTGATTGCTTTTCACAACTATAAATATTTGTTTTAGAACCTTTGGTAGATTATTTTTATACATATATAATTAGGATAAGAAATACAGCTACCATTGAATTTCATATTATATAATAATTGTCTTATTTTTATAACATTCAGGGGTAAAATAATAATTTTCAATGTTCTCTTTTGTTTCTTAGGGCAAAGCTGTTGGGGTAGCTATTGGCTGCATATTAGGAATGTTCCCTTTGTTTTTCTTTGGAGGAGGTGAAGAAGATGAAAAACTGGAAGAGAAAAATTAACCCTCTTAGAATACCCATAAAAATGTAAACTAATGTACCTCAATTATAAAATATGCTGTCACAACATTTAGGAATTAAGACAGTAACAGTGTATAGATATGGGAACAAATAATTCAGCATGTATTATGGAAAACACTAACTTATTGTGGCTTGGTCTCCTTAGGACAGCTTTTAAAAAAATGGTTTAGTAATATTTTATGTAAGTTGTTGAAAATGCTTTTCCATCACTGGCAGTCAACAGTTGCCCTTTACCTTTTCTTTCTTTACACATCAACAAACTCAACAGTCATTGATGCGCTGTACTGACCTGGGGTTTACTTCTTTGTTACTTAACATGTCGACATGCATGAAAGCATTTTTTGTTGCTGTTGTTATTGTTGTTCCCTGATAGTTAGAATTTAACCTTAACATTTTCCCAAATTGTGTAAGATGTCTGATATCAGTTCCAGATTTTTTTTTTTTTTTACTCTTTTTGGCAATATTTTGTACTGCTTCTGCAGTAAACATATTCACTCATATAATTTCAGTTTTCTTTTAACTCCATTCAGAATGAACACAATTTTGAAAGTAACAATTACTTCTTTTAGTTGTCTGACTTTAAGTGTTTTAAGAGCCAGAGGTCAAAAAGAATGATCATGCCCGTCCTATTACATACAACCATGCCGAGTAACACATGTGCTTTGTTCTAGTTGGTTTTTATAATCATATTGTGAGTTCTGATTGCTGAGGTGAGGAAAGTTACTATTTTAGAATCTTTTTAATGGGATCTGTGGAATTGGAGAAGACTAAAGGATATGACAGGACTGAAGCTCTGGTCTGCAAGGTCAGGTTGAACTGCAAGGTTGGCGGTTCAAACTCATCAGTCGCTCCTTGGAAACCCTATACAGTGTCGCTGTGAGTTGGAAGCGACCCAACGGCACTTAACAACAACAACAAAATACAGATAGAAAATGGGAGCTGTTCAATAAGGTTAGGTTAAAAATGAAAAAGTTGAAGAAATGGTCTGTAAGGTTAATGAGATACAAACGATATTTGAAAAGTATCTTTTTTTTTTTTTTAATCAAAGTGTTTTCTCGTCTTCTGAATTGCATGAGTCTGAATACTCCATTCTCATAATCTTGGTGCCATTATATCTTGTTTAGTGATTTCATTTCTGGATAATGTCTTTTGAGATGGAGTTTATAAAATATAAATATTTTCTACTTTACTTTTTTGCTAGATAGTCTAATAGTCCTTTATTTGTGTTTCTTTTGTGGTTTTTAAAGCATATTCTAGATTGAAGTTATTTATTTCTAGTCTTGTATTTCTGACTTCAATATAACCATGTATGAATCCTTAATTTTTCCTTAGTTTTTAGCATGTGGTCTGTTGCACTTGCTAAAAAAGTTACTCTTGAACCTGTAAGAGTAATTAAATGCATCATGGAGGAGAGAAATTTGTTACTATTGAATTTGAATTAAAGTTATTTTTCCACTGAAATTATTTGTGCTGCAAAATAGATGCAAAAGAAGAGAAATTTACAGGATGACTTTGTGTACAGCAACTTTGAGTTTTGTTTGCACGTATTGACTAAGAGCTCTTATTTTTAAGGAGCTACTGTTTTTCAGAAAAGCAATTTGTCACAAATTCTCTCCTATGCGTTTCAAAATGGTTTAGTGCTGCCCTTCATGAACTTTGAGGGAATAAGAAAACGAGTTATACTTGTACAACATAAAGTAAATATATAATATTCTTATAGTTTGACAGTTTCATTTGAGCAAATCAGAATTATAGAACTTGAGTTCTTAAATAGAATTGTGGTTTGTATCTTCCACATAATTCCATATACATCAAAACAAAACATTTAAATATAAATGTTTAAGTGCTATTGTCCCTAACTTGTATACAGCTAGTCCTTTCTGTTTCCTAAGAAGGTATTTTGTTGTTGTGCTTAAAATGTGTTCTTGTCCCAAAGTCCATATCTAGAAATCTTGTCTGAGTTTAGAAAGGACTTTTGATAACTGGTATCTGTTTTGCTTTTGCACATACTCCATACTCTGATCATCTTCAGAATTACTTAAAGTACTACAATATATGGAAAAATATTTTACTTCGTGGAAAAAATTAAAATTTGTATCATTCAGGTAATTAAAAAAAAAAATTAAGCCCTTTTGTCATTGATTGAAAAGACACACTATTCAAGATTTTTATCCTATGCTAGTATGGTGCTGCGCACAAAGTGATTTCCATAGAGTTCTCCTTAATAAAAGTCATTCTTCATATAGTGATTATTTTGTTTTGTCACAATTTTCAAGTTGAAACTGGAACACTGTTTCTCATTTTAGTTATTTCTCTATTAGAAGCACTAGACCCCTGGTGAAATGCAACATGAGCTACTTGACTGTGGTTTGAAATTCCTGTCCATGTATTCTGATTTATTGACTTGTTGATTGATGCATGTAAATTGAGTGCATTTTGTTACCACTGTATGTTAAATGGTGACCAATGTTTTTACAAAGACAAATTGAACAACAACAAAAAAATCTCTTTTAAGAAATTTGGATTGTGGTCTTGATTTTGAAATTTGATTTGCTTCCTAATCTCAGAGGACCTTTGGTTATCCTGTTGTTTTTGTTTTTCATCACTAAAGGCAATAGGATTAATAAGCACAGAATTGTTATAAGGGTTGTGGAAATGTCCTTGAGACAGTAATATGGAGCTATTTACCACCTTCTGAAACCTACAATTGAGATACAACATTACAAAGTATGAGAGAGTGATCTCATACTGAGTTAATTTTGATATTTAATAGGATATCCAAGAAAGCTCTAGAGACACTAAATAAATCACACTGATGGGTATTTATAGCAGAGAGTCCAAGCTGCTTGTATATTACGCACCATTTACTTTATTCTTTTTCTTTAAAAGGTGAATTTTTGAAGGTAATTAAAGTTTAAATAACAAAAGTTTGTTTAATTAATTTTGAAGTAAATGTTTTTAAATTTTAGAAATACATTTTCTTGCCATCATGGTGGTGGTTATGTGCCATTGAGTTGGTTTTGACTCACAGTGACCCTGTATAGGGCTTCCAGGGCTTTGTATATCTTGTTGCTTTGGCTTTCTCTTGCAGAGCAGCTCGTGGATTCAAACTATGACCTTGTGGTTAACAGCCCAACATGTAACCCACTGCATCATCAGAGCTCATTAAAACAGCAGATTCAGTGTAATGTAACATTTTTCTTAATGGCTTAGCAATATCTTCATGGACATTCTTGCTCTGGTGTGGCACTGTAGGTTAAGCATTGGACTGATAACCATAAGACTAGCCATTTAAACCCACCTTCTTGGAAACCCTGTACAGGGCCACTATGATTCGGAATCAACTTGATGGGCACTTAGCAACATAACAAGCAGTACACTACCTTGAGACTCCCATTTTCATGTTTTGTTTTTTCCATTTTCCTTCTCTCTTTTCTGGACAGCGCTCTACCTCTCAAATTTGCTGTTTTCTCAGCTATATGGACTTAGGAACAAGAGAGTTTGTCTAACCATAAATTGTTTGGAAAATATCAGAAAATAGGCTATGGAGTCTGAGTTAACAAATAGATAATGTTAGTGTCCTTTGTAGCTAATAGTATACACTGTTTTACACATGTTATGCCATTGATCACCTTAATAATAATGTTAAGTTGGAGCTTTTATTACCCCCACTTTATACTGGCTACACTGAGATATGGCATGGTTAATTTGCCTGAGACATTACTGACGGTGTCAGAGCTGGGACTGGAAGCTAGCTTTGTCTTAAATGTAAAGTCCATGCTTGTTTTTAACTACTGTGCACTTGGAGCATCCGTTGCACAGACTTTGTAACATCTGTTCTCTGTTTAGGTTCCTCTTTCCTTCCAGATGCACAGAGTCATTTCTCATCTAGAACCCAGGGAAAAGATATTTATATCCTGAGGATTCGTTTAATAAATTTGTGATTTTTTTGACTACATATTATGTGTTAGGAACTTGAACTCTGCAAGGCACTGAGAATGAAGCAGAGGACAATCCGACCCTGGTGACCCTCTGCAAGTTTACTCTAGGGGGATGCAAGTGGAGCATGGGCACATAGAAGCAAATACACACTCATGATTTCACAGACCAGATCTGTGATTTTATCCCAGATTCTTTCGGCATCCTAAATCAAAGGTTTCCAAACTTTTTTGAGATCCCCAAAAAGCTTTTGTTTATGAGGGTTATATAAATACTTACTACATTTGATATTAAAACTGAGAAGTTACAAAAGTAATTAAAAATACTTCATGTTAACTAGCATATTTTATGAGAAAGAATAATTTTCCAAAATAAATTTGGTGTGGAGAGCAACATTGTTTTCCTGTTTTGGCTTAGTGTGTGGGTCAAAAGAAGACAAGATTCTTACTTAGCTCTGTTTCCACATTCAGTTTGGATGGCCTACAGGGTTAGTCTAAGTCAGAATCGGTTGGTTTGTTTTTTGGGTTTATTACATTGTTTTGTTTGAAGTGTTGGGGGCTTTGAGAAGTTAGTGGAAGATGGAACAATAAACTTTTTGAAGCCCCCTTATATATGAAGAAAGTCTAGTTCCACACAAGGTACGTTAGTGGAAAAAGGCTGGATATTTTCATAACCCTTCTAGATGATTGTGGATATTTTCCTTGGCTGCTGTGCCCAGACAGAAACAAGTGCTGCTTTCCAAAAGGTTAATTGTAATGTAGAGGCTGAAACCAAATCAGTGAGATTTTATATTCAGTTATTTTAAATCCTTGCTGTTTAATCTTGTCCTGTGCGTGGTGCTGAATGATTCAGCATTTGGAAAAATTGGATCACTGTGAATGCAGATCTCTTGAATACTAACACCTCCCATTAGATGAGATTGAAAATCAATTCTGTTAACAGCACCCGTCTCACCAATCTGCTCTTGAGGAAGCTGTCAAGCTCAGAGAGCAGATAACACTTGCTCCAAAATTCTGCTTTTCACTGAAAGCTTACATTTTATA